CTACTCTATAAGAGGTTGCCAAAATAAATCCTAGGATGATGACTGGCAAGACCTAAATCCAATATAAGCTCTTAAAAAGCCAGCAAGTCAGTGAGGGCTAATGAGCTTTTCACCACAGCTTCTATTTTACCTTTTGTCATATCCTCTAGGCCACCCATCCTTATTTCCATTGCCCAGAGTTTTTGCATTTTTACCACTGCGATGTGAGAAGAGTTAAATTTTATAATTAAACTCTTATTTGTGCCAGGACAAATGGAGCCCAGGAGATGGTCTCTACTCTAGATACCCGTTGCTAGCTAGAGATAACTAGGAGAAGGCCCTAAATTTTTATTTCTATTTCTTTTTTTTTTTTTTTTTTTGAAACATCGTTTTGTTTTGTTGCTCTGGCCGGAGTGCAGTGGCATGATCATGGCTCACTGTAGCCTCTATTTCTTGGGCTCAGTTGATTCTCCTATCACAGTCTCTCAAGTAGTTGAGACTACGGGCACACACCTCCATACCTGGCTAATTTTTTATATTTTTGGTAGAGACAGGGTTTTACCATGTTGCCTTGGCTGGTCTCAAATTCCTGGGCTAAAGCAATCCACCCACGTCAGCCTTCCAAAGTGCTGGAATTATAGGCATGAGCCATCATGCCTTCTTTTTCTTTTTTTGAGATAGAGTCTTGCCCAGGCTGAAGTGCATTGGTGCAAACATGATTCACTGCAGTCTCTACTTCCAGGGCTCAAATAATCCTCCCACCTCATATTCTCAAGTAGTTGTGACTACAGGTGCACACCACTATACCCAGCTAATTTTTTTTCCTTTTTCTTTTATAGAGATGGGGTCTCCCTATGTTTCCCAGGCTGGTCTTAAACTCCTGGGCTCAAGTGGTCGGTCCTCTCCCCTCAGTCTCCCAAAAGCTGGGATTACAGGACTGACTCACCACACCTGGCCCCTTTTTCTTTCTTCACAATTTCATGGATAGAAGATTCTTTCTTACCATAGATCTTAGCAATCTCAGCATACAATTTTTTTCCTTAAGTTGAGAACTTCCACCTTTTCACTTAAAGGAAGTGCACATGCACATCTGAATTGCCACCTCACTCCTCTTGCACTTTGGGGCCATCATGAAGTAAACTAAGGATGGCTTGAATGCAAGTACTGCAGGACCCATCACAGTTGTTCTAATAACAAAGACGGCTACTAACTGACTAATGGGCAGGTAGGGTATACCACTTGGATATGCTGGGCAAAGGGGTGATTCACAACCCAGGTGGGATGGAGCTGAATGGTGTGAGATTTTATCATGCTACTCAGAACAGCATCCAACTTAAAACTTATGAATTATTTATTTCTGGCATTCTTCATTCAATATTTTTGGATTATAATTGACTGAGGGTAACTGAAATTGGGAAGTGAAACCATGGATGTGAGGGCACTACTGTATTTTACTTTTGTTTTTGAAATATATTTTACATGTGATAGATAATTTTATATTTTTTGGAGAGAAAAACTGCTCTATTATAAATACACATTCTTCAGTCTATGCTGAGTCTATGAAAGCTTTTTGCTCTTTGAAGCTCAACAAGCCTTTTCTTCCTCAAAAATTCAGGCTCTGATAGTAGAAAACCATGCTTTTTAATGTTGTTTTTGGAAAAGCATTTAGATGTCTAATTTGAAAATAAAGCAGAATTATGACTTTATTTTACTTGGCCATCTGGATAGTATAGGAAGGTTTATAGGTTCAAGCAGAAGGAAGAGCTCAGATAATAACTAAAAATGTTATCCCCTGTAGCTTTTCCATTCTGTGGTTATTCATAGCACTTAGTGTCCTTGTCCTTGTTAACACTTTGCATTTACATTACACTGTGAATTCTCTGTTATCTTTAACATTTGGTAAAGTGCTTGATATATGTTCTAAAGGTTTATTTTTAGAAGCAACCAGATTGTATACCCTTATCTATGTAGCTGAGTCCTAGGCCAGTTACTTTCATATAAAAATGTTGACCAACGTCTTGCAGCAAGATGATGGTTTGTAACCAGTTGGTTGAAAGTACAGGTGGCCTGGACTTGCATTTGGCATCTGAAATGTGAGCAGCCCTGTGAGACTGAGCCCTCAACCCATGGGATCTGACACTATTTCCAGGTAAATAGTGTTAGAATTGAAATGAATTACAGAACACCTTGGCAGTGTCTGTAAAAGAATCTATTTGGTATTTGGGAGAACTCCTCACCTTCCCGACATCTGGTCACAGAAATGTGCTATGAATGTGTTGAGTAGAGAGGAAGAACAGCTTGCTTTTTCTCTTTATATCTAGCTTATAATTTACATAACTGTTAGGGTTTAGAAAACAATATGCCAAAATAAAAGCCTCAGAAGCAAAAATTTTTCTGTGGCCTTCTCCTGGCCTCCTATGTCTCAGTCCCATTCTCCTCTCCACCTCTCCCACGCTAGACCAGATGTAGAAACTAGAATCCCTCTTCCTCAAAGCAGGTCATGGAAACTGGAACTTCTTTTCCCCAAAGCCAGTCGTAAAACCTAGAATACCACTCTAACTTCCCTTCATCTTTCTGTGTAAAACAGGCCATAAAGAAATTATCTGACCTATCTTTTTTTTTTTTTTTTTGAGACGGAGTTTCGCTCTTGTTACCCAGGCTGGAGTGCAATGGCGCGATCTCGGCTCACCGCAACCTCTGCCTCCTGTGTTCAGGCAATTCTCCTGCCTCAGCCTCCTGAGTAGCTGGGATTACAGGCACGCGCCACCATGCCGAGCTAATTTTTTGTATTTTTAGTAGAGACGGGGTTTCACCATGTTGACCAGGTTGGTCTCGATCTCTCGACCTTGTGATCCACCCGCCTTGGCCTCCCAAAGTGCTGGGATTACAGGCTTGAGCCACCGCGCCCGGCTGACCTATCTTGTTTGACTATAGGTCATAAGACCCCCATTCCAGAAAGGGTCCTGCCCCACACCCAGAAGGAAGGAGTGCATGTTCAGAGAGGCCAAGAAGAATCTCGAGGGACAGGCCTGGCTGGGTTTCTCCACTCAGTCTATTGGCATTAGATCATATACCTTTTGTCCAATCGCGTTTCTATATAGCTGTTCCATACATTGTTGAATTTAAGCATAAAATGGACAACCTCCCCCCATCTTTGGGATCTTCATTCTGAATGCTCCTATGTATATATGTTAAATAAATTTGTATACCCTTTCTGTAATTAATCTGACTTTTACAAGTTGATTTTTCAGCAAAACTTCAGGGAGCCAGGGAGAACTTGGTCCCTTTACCCACCTCTACATAACCATTCCCCAGTTATTTCACTTATAGATTATCTAGGTTTTCACTGTTATAACAATATGATGAACTGATAGCTTTGTGTGTAAAACTTTCCCTACATTTGATTATTTCCATGAAATGGTTTTGAAGGCATTTTAAAGACTCTTAATAACTTTGTACATTGCTTTCCAAAAAGGTGGTCCAGGTTTAAACTTTGACCAGTTCTATATGGGGGTGGCTATCTTGCCATAGTTTCCCCTGCATTGATTATTCTCATTTTTCAACATTCTTACCAATTTGATTGGCATAAAACGGTATCTGTTTGATCAATGACAACATTGAGTATTTTCTCAAGTAGTTGTAAATTGTACCTATTCTTTTGTGAAGACAACGAGCGGTATATCTAAGACCAGTTTGAATATTTTTTATCTTACATATTCATTTAGACATTTTATAAAGGCAGATTTCCAGTAAAACTGATTGCCCCTAAGTTGGGGTATAATAATTTCAATTTGACCTTCCTCATTATTTCTAAAATGTTCATAATTCAAGAAATTATTACCAGGTGTGGAGCTACCTCCTTTTTTTTTTTTTTTTTTTTTTTTTTTTTTCCTGAGACAGGGTCTCACCCTATAATCTTGCCCTGCTGGAGTGCAGTGGCATGATTATAGCTCACTGCAGCCTTGACTTCCTGGGCTCAGGTCATCCTCCTTCCTCAGCCTCCTGAGTAGCTAGAAACTACAGACATGTGCCCCCATGCCTGGCTGGTTTTAAAAAGTTTTATTTTTAGTAGAGATCAGGTCTTGCTATGTTGTCCACACTGGGAGCTACCTATTTTTAAACAGTGTTTAAGATACATGGTGTGTAAATATATAGACATTGCTTAAAAATGAAAAGCAGCACTTAAATTTCTTGGGGAAGTTGGAGTTTATATAGGAAATTGTCAGAGGTACTCAGGAATTGGAAGTTGTGGCTGGGGATGTGCATGGAAGAAAAGGCAACATAAGTAGTAGATCTGCAGACCAGTCTATCCTGATAGAACATTCTTAACCCAGTGTCCCTTCAATAGCTGGTCTGATGGAAAGGCAAACAATTGTACATCTGGAATCATGGGTTCAACTAACCTCATCTCTGGAATTAGCCTGCTTTGTGACCACAGATTATTTAACCTTTCTGTTTCTCAGTGTTCACATCGGTAAGTTCCTTTCAGTTCTAAACATCTTTGATTTTATTATTCAGGGGACAGAATGTTATCCTTGTGAATCCAGAGCTTTTCTTGTGAGTAGATGTGAATAGGTGTGGAGAACAACTCATTCTTGTTGAGAACTACTTGGGAGAAAATAATAGGAAAAATTTCCCATACTAGCTAAACTTTTTAGGGAATGTGAACTTCGAAATCCTTGTTTATCTTCTTTTGATGCATTAAAAATCATAAAATTAAATTAATTTTAAGCAGTTTTCCCTGGACTAGAGAATTGTATATTCAGTGTTTTCTCTTTTAACGTGCTGGAAAACAACAGGTTGAGTAAGTTTAAAGAGAGCAGGAAAGAAATTTAGACAGAAAATAACTAGCTGCAAAACCCTTCAGTGTTTTAAGAGAAGTTACTATTTAGACAAGCGTGGTCTCGGCTTAATCAAATGCTTTAATTTAAAGTCACAAACATCCTTTTTCTGGCTTGAGAAAGCTGGGGGAGGCAGCTTTCTAATCCAACAGACTCAGTGCTCTGTGTTCGATTTGTTAGGTCTGGCTCAGTGTGCGGAGCTCTGCTGGCAGCTGAGAGGGGAAGCCGGAGAGAGGCAAGTTCCTGGTGCAAAGGTGGCTCTGCAGCATAATTTAGGCCTTGGAGGAGCTGTGGTTGTAACACTCTACAAGATGGGTTTTCCCGAAGCCGCCAGGTGAGTGACGTTCTGAGTTTTGTGTGTCAGTTAATCCTCCTGACTTTTCACAGTTGATGATGTTTTACATGTAAAAAATTATTTTATTGTCTTAGTCTTTAAGGAAAAGTATCTCATTACATTGTTTTAAGAACATGACTTTAAAAGTGGCCTTTAGGTTTTAAATATAACCAACTTTAGGATAATTTTGTTGAAAAAGGAGCCAGCATAGTCACCAGCCTGCTGAACTAGAAGCCTGAGCTGGCTGGGTATGGGTCTTAGGCCCTACCAACCTGAGTAACTTAGGCAGATCTCTCCTCATGGCCTTCCAGCCTTCTGAGGTGGTTTGGGGAGTCACCAGATGTGCTAACTGGATCTTTGCAAATTTGTATTTTCCAGTCCAGCTAATAAACCCTCGTTGTTGCTAGAATTCTTTTTGTCTCTTGCTGACTTTCTTCCTCTCCTTCAACTGGCTGTACTCAAGTTTGCAGGCACTTTCTTTCCCATCCCACTCAGGATCCGTCAACTGCTTTGCACATCTCTCAGAGAAGTGCTCCTCCCCAGAGGAAAAAAGTGCCCCCTCCTGCCAAAGGCTAGACTTTCCTTTTTCCATGCTTTTGTTTCCAGTCACTTTCTGTAACTCCCTTATCTTTCCATTGGCTCCTTTCCCTCTGGCAGCATACCTGTTCACGTCTTCCCTTAGATCTCTTTTTCTCCTGGCCTTAATTGTTCTTTTTCATGATGAGTCTTTTATGTTGAGACACCTTTGTTTTTCCAAGCCGGAATACCTCACAGTCTAATTTTTTTACCTAACCATTGAGGTACGGCCACAAGTATCTAAGTGAAATTGAAATACCTTGTCTTTATTTTTCCTATTTATTCTGTTTAACTCTGCTGTAGCTTTTGACATTAATTGGCTCCCTTTTTTCTTTGGAAATTCTTGGTAATTATTTAATCATTTATTTGCACTTTTTTGTTTCTCCAACAAAGGATATGAGATACACTTCTTTTACTGAGTCCATTATATTCTTCTGTAAGCGCTTGGATCTCTTCTCTTCTCCTCTTTCTCTGCCCAGAATATAATTTCTGTTGTAAAACTTATATTTTAAAACCCATCTCAAATACTATCTCTCTGAATATCCACAGCACTTCGTACATTTTTGAGTACTATCTTGTTGGTTTGGTTCCCTTTATCATACGAAATCCTTAAGGCCTAAGACTGTGACTTACATCTCTTGTTCCTAGAATCTCTTATGGGTTTATTAAATTGGAATAAAAGGTATTGAATCTTAAGTTTTTGTGGGTCTTTTTTTCTTTTTTTTGAGACAGAGTCCTGTTCTGTCGCCCAGGCTGGAGTAAGGTGGGGTGATTGCCGCTCACTGCAACCTCTGCTTCCTGAGTTCAAGTGATTCCTGTGCTTTAACCTCCTAAGTAGCTAAGATTGCAGGCATATGCCGCCACATCTGGCTAATTTTTTGTATTTTTAGTAGAGATGGGTTTCACCATGTTGTTCAGGCTGGTCTTAAACTCCTGACCTCAAGTGATCTGACTGCGTTGGCCTCCCAGAGTGCTGGGATTAGAGGCGTGAGCCACTGCTCCCCACGGAATCTTAATTTTCCTCCTAAATCTGATTCATTGGTTCTCTATTGACTCTGAAATTCTATTCAGTTCATATTTGGAGTTAAAAATCCTTAGTAAAGAGTTAAAACTATAAAGAATTACCATAGTCATCATGTTAGTGTTGCTTTCTGATTTGCTCAGATTAGAAAGTTACTAATTTGGGGTAACAGACTTATTTTAAATGTGGAATTCTCAGTTCTTTTACTTTCAAGATACTAAATAACTAGAAGAAAGGACAGTTCTCATTATCCAGAGTTGACACTTCTGGGAAGGCAGAAGCATGAAAACAATTCAGAAATTATATTAATGATTAATGAGAAATTGGCTTGAAATATTACAGATATTATTGACAGCCAAAATTAGGGGAATAATTCGTGTTTTTTTTTTTTTTTTTTTTTTTTTTGAGACGGAGTTTCGCTCTTGTTACCCAGGCTGGAGTGCATGGCGTGATCTCGGCTCACCGCAACCTCCACCTCCTGGGTTCAGGCAATTCTCCTGCTTCAGCCTCCTGAGTAGCTGGGATTACAGGCACGCACCACCAGGCCTAGCTAATTTTTTGTATTTTTAGTAGAGATGGTGTTTCACCATGTTGACCAGGATGGTCTCGATCTCTTGACCTCGTGATCTACCCGCCTCAGCCTCCCAAAGTGCTGGGATTACAGGCGTGAGCCATGCGCCCGGCCTAGGGGAGTAATTCTTAACTCTGATTAAGTTAAGTGCAGATACAGTTTTAAAATGTGGTTGTGGTTTGGTTTTAAACAGAATAATTTTAAGCTACCCATTGCACATGTTCTGATTTTTTTTTGTTACTCACTTAGCTAACTCTAATGGAACAGCTGCTACATACTTAGGCCCAAGAAGTGTGGTCCTCTCAATATGTGGGGAAAGCAACATACTTTTTTCAAAATGCTCTAGAAGCTCAGAGGAAGAAATTATTATGAAGGAAGTAAATTTGAGCTGAGATGACTAGGATTGCCCAACAGAAATATAGGGGAAGGGCATTCCAAGTCTGTACATAGGTATAGAAATTTGCAAATACAAGGAGGTTTGGCAAGGGGCTTACGCTGTGTGGGTAGAGAGTAGATTATTTTGTGTATGCCTGGGTGGAGGGACAAAGTGGGATTATGTTTTGAAGTGATTCAAATGCAATGCTCAGGAGTTTGGAATTTATCCTATAGAATATGAAAAGATATTCTTTTTCTTTCTTTTTTTTTGAGTCAGTCTTGCTCTGTCACCAGACTGGAGTGCAGTGGCATGATCTCGGCTCACTGCAACCTCCGCCGCCTTGGTTCAAGTGATTCTCTTGCCTCAGCCTCTCAAGTAGCTGGGATTACAGGTGCTCGCCTGGCTAATTTTTGCATTTTTAGTAGAGATGCGGTTTCACCATGTTGGCCAGGCTGTTCTCGAACTCCTGACCTCAGGTGATCCACCCACCTCAGCCTCCCAAAAGTGCTGGGATTACAGACATGGGCCATTGCGCCTGGCTTGAATTTCTTTTACAATCAGAACTTGTTAGGTAATTTCAAACAAACAGGAAAAAATTCTAAGAATAATACAAGGAACTCCCTTATACCTTCTATCTAGATTTACCAATTGTTGATATTTTGCTCATTTGCCTTATTGTTTTTCCTCTGCATATATTTATATCTATGTATGCTTTTAACTATCTGAGAGAAAGGTGGAGTTTTTTTTTTTTTTTTGAGATGGAGTCTCGCTCTGTCACCCAGGCTGGAGTGCAGTGGTGCGATATTGACTCACTGCAAACTCCGCCTCTGGAGTCAAGCAGTTCTCTGCCTCAGCCTCCTGAGTAGCTGGAATTACAGGTTCCTGCCACCATGCCCAGCTAATTTTTTTGTATTTTTAGTAGAGATGGGGTTTTACCACGTTGGCCAGGCAGGTCTTGAACCCTGACCTCGTGATCTGCCTGCCTCAGCCTCCCAAAGTGCTGGGATTACAAGCGTGAGCTACCATGCCCAGCCAGGTGGAGTTGTTATCCTCCTTTATCCCTAAATATTTCAGTATATATTTGTAGAAACAATGGCCTTTTTTTTTTTTTTTTCGCTTAACCACACTAGTTATAAAAATCAAGAAATTTAATAGGGACTTTGTGTGATTTCTCATGCCTGTAATCCCAGCACTTTGGGAGGCTGAGGCAAGTGAATGGCTTGAGGTCAAGAGTTTGAGACCAGCCTGGACAACATTGTGAAACCACCCTCTTAGCCAGGCGTGGTGGCACTTGCCTGTATTCTCAGCTACTCAGTAGGTCATGGCACGAGAATCACTGGAGTCTGGAAGGTGGAGGTTGCAGTGAGCCAAGATCGTTCCACTGTACTCCAGCCTAGGCGACAGAGCAAGACTGTTTAAAAAAAATAATTAACATGGTTACAATACTGTGAGGTTGTTCAGATAACACATAGTCATAGTTCAACAACTGTCTCAATAATATATTTATAAAATAAACTCTAAGCTTTATTTTTTCTCCCTGTCAGGAGAAATCCCTAAAAATGCATTTAGCTTTCATGTCTCTTTAGTTTCCTTTAATGTGAAGTAATCCCTCAGACTTTGTATTTCTTAACCATGATTTTTTTGAAGAGTACAAGTATATTCTTTAATAATAGAATGTTTCTCAGTTTGCAGTTGCCTAATATTTCCCCAAATTAGATTCAGATTATACATTTTTTGCAGGATTAAGTAATGTTGTGTCCTTCTAGGTGCATCACATCTAGAGGGCATGAGGTTGTTTAACCCATATTGGTGTTGTTAGCTTTGCTCATTTAGTGTGGCATCTACCATGTTTTCCTCTGAAAAGTTGCTATTTTTTTTTTTTTTTGAGACGGAGTCTTGCTCTGTTGCCCAGGCTGGAGTACAGTGGCACGATCTTGGCTCACTGCAACCTCTTACTCCCGGGTTCAAGCGACTCTCCTGCCTCAGCCTCCTGAGTAGCTGGGACTATAGGCACCCACCACCATGCTCAACTAAGTTTTGTATTTTCAGTAGAGACAGGGTTTCAAAACGTTGGTCAGGCTGGTCTTGAACTCCTGACCTTGTGATCTGCCTGCCTTAGCCTCTCAAAGTGCTGGGATTCCAGGCGTGAGCCACAGCAGCCAGCCAGAAAAGTTGCTATTCTTTTCTTTGTAGTTAATAAGTAATTTGTGGCAAGATACTTTGAGATAATATCATCTTTTCTATACTTACTAACTGGCATTATTTCTGTAAAGAAGAGCTTTCCCTTGTCTTCCATTTCAAAATTTATTCATGTATAGCTATATATACATACACAAACACACATACATACAAACTCATGAATTCTTATTGTATTCACTGGGTTATAGCAAAGTGGTATCAATTATTTCGATGTTCACAGTGGCCCTGATTTGGCCAGTGGAAACCAATCAAGTTGA